GACTGGACTTGGAGCTGAGCCAGCTGCGCCCTCCACGACTAAGAGTGAAGGACAACAACTTGGCTGTTCCCCTTCCCCAACTCCCCAATAAAATCTTAAAAAAAAAAGAAAAGAATCACGTTTCAAGCCCATTCTGTGGTAGGTTTTATTTTCCAAAGAGAACGGCAGCATTCTCTTTCGTCCTCCAAGCTGCCGGAGGACTTGCTATGTCCTTTTACCTACAATGAGGCGGAGCCTGTGTCTCCTCCTCTTGAAACCAGGTGAGCCTTTGCAGCTGCTTTGACCGATGGAGGATGAGGACGGAACACTTACACCTTCCGAAGCTAGGGCATAAAAATGCTCCCAGCTTTTCCTCTGGGGACCCTTGCTCTTGGAACCCAGCCACCATGCTGAGGAAGCCCATGCCGCCGGCGGGGAGGCCCGTGAGAGGAATCGGGGCCCCTCGGCCACAGCCCAGCCAAGCTCAGCACCAACTTGTCAGTCAGCTGAATGAGTCATCTCAAAAACATATGCTCTGGGCCGTCAAGTGTCCAGAAACACTACCCCTCCACCAAGCCCCACCCAGCTACAGACTCATGAGCAAAGCAAGTGGTATTTTCACTGTAAGCACTACGACGGGGTGGTTTGTTCTATGGCAATAAATGATACACGTCTAAGCACTTTACACCCATCAACCCACTTCATTCTCACAACAGTCTATGAAGAAGGTAATATGGTTATTTCCACTTCAGACTTGAGGAAACTCAGGCGCAGAAAGGCTAAGGACCCTTCCTGAGCTCATGCAGCTAACGAGAGGCAGGGCTGGGGGCACAATCTAGGCTGGTTAGCTCCAACTGGGGAGTCTACAGGCCTCTCAAGAACGGGAAACCCAGAAAGGGAACAGGGTAGTGCTGAAAAGATAAAAAATAGAGCAGCGCTTCCACCGCTGAAATGGAGTTGCTCGTAGGAGGCGGGACATCTGGCTGCAGCCCGCCCTTGGTAACGCTGGCCCTTCTCCACCCAGCGCCAACATTTCCCCACTCTGATGCCAGCGCCCATTTCTGAAAGAACGAAGCCCCAGGCAGACAGAGGAGAAGGTCAAACCACAAGCCACGTTCCTCGTTCTGTTCCTGTGGAGCCAAAATGGGACTCGGAAGTAGAAGCAGCCAAAGGCAGGCAGCTGGATGGCGCTGCCATCTCATGTGCCCGCGCCCCCTCCTCTGCCACCGTCACACACCACGGCAGGAGCCGGTGTCCGAGACACAGCAGTCCTGGGTAAAATAAGTAAGAGTGCTGGTGCGGGGTGGGCGGCAAGGAGCGGGCACAGATGGCAGAGGACATTAGCGCCTTTGCCTCTGCCCTCCCCCGGATCTTTACCTGGCTGGCCCTCTTCCATCTCCCTCCCAGGTGCCACCTAAACTTCCTCTTTTCAGAGGCTCCCCCTGGCTCCCCGCTGGGAAGTCACAGCACCATTCCACTCTGTCCGTCTCTCCCTTCCACTGCTCTGTGCGTCCCCCTGGGTTTGCACTGGCCCCCTGGCAGGGCATTTATTTACTTGTGGGCCTGTTTAGTGCCTGCTTCCCTGCCTGGAATGCCAGCTCCATGAGGCACTGATAGAAAAGGACCTCTGTCTTGTGTACCGGGGTGTCCCCAGAGCCCAGAACAGTGTCGGGCATGACACAACAAGCACTCCACAAACATCCGAATGGAAGTGAAATGGAAGCTTTTGCCTGGAAGTTTCCAGAAGCACAGTCCCATGGAGGGCAGAGCAGGAGGGGTGATTCGCAGGGCCTGGTGGGTAGACCCCATGCAGAGTGCCATGGGGGTGGGGGGACAGTGCCCAAAGGGCCCTAAGAAGGGGCGTGACATGACCTCTTGGTGTTTTCAAAAGAGAATTCTTTTAAGGATTTGCTGAAGAGGGACTTTTTGTTTAAGAATAAATTCAGGGCAGAGCCTCAGGAAGAAAAGAAAGGAAAAATATGACACGAACCCGCTGAGGGGGGAGAATGGCGACTTCTCCCCTCCAGGGTGGACTTTGTTCCTTGCTTCTAACTATTCAGGCTTGTGCTTGCTCAGAACACCGACCTCGGCTTGCAGACTAGGTCCCAAAAGGCAGAACCCGATAGCTTGTTTGTGGCTCTTCTGTGAGGAGGCGGCTGAAAGGCCCTAGGTGACTAGGGCCACTGAGGGGCTTTTCAAGAAAGCCACAGGTCATTTCCAAGAGCCCCCTTCCCACCAGGCCCAAGCGAGCGGCTCATTTAGGGATTACAGAAAGGGCGCACATGGGAGGCAGGGAGCCAAGGCCCTGCCTGTTCCTTTCATTCACAGGGGCAGCAGCCTTGCGGCCAAGTCCAGAAGCACTCTGAGTGCATTGCAAGAGGTGGGGGCCAGGGGAACGTGTGGGTCCTAATTCCCTGCCCCCCCGTTTGCTCTGCTCCAACCGGTTCCAGC